GAGAGAGAGAGAGAGAGAGAGAGAGAGGATAGTTTTTCTTTGTATGTCTTTCTGTGAAGTTCTTGGATCCTTGTAGTAGGTGAGAGAATTGTATGAGAATTGGAGGAGATTGTTGTTGGGATCAGGGGTTAATAAGAGTTGAATTGAAGGAGTCTGGTTTGGTATTGCAGTTTTTGACGAGCATGTTGCAGAGTCGCTTGTCTTTTTTGTATGAGAGGGTTAGTATAGCTTTTGGATGTTCTTATCTTTGTTCAATTGAGAGAGGGAGAGAGAGAGACTTGTTGTTGAAATGTTTCAGGGTCTCCTCGTTATGTTACTTGCTGATCTTCGAGTAGTGGCCTATTGTTCTTATGGCGAGTAGTGGCCTATTGTTCTTATGGTGAACTTATACCTTTTGATAAATGTGTTATGGGTACATTTTTTCTGTTTACACAAAAATTGTTCTTATGGTGAACTTATACCTTTTGATAAATGTGTTATGGGTACATTTTTTCTGTTTACATTTGTGTGCTTCATTCCTGTGTGCCTGTTTTTTGGGCTTATGTCTTAGATCATGACTGGTATTGCTATGTTCAATACAGTAGTTTTTTATTCACATGATTATTTCTTTCATTCCAATGAGTTTATTTACTTCTCGTCAACATTTATCGTATGGATGGTTTGGTCATGATTAATTAACATACTTTTCTCTTTTCGTTTTGTGGTGTACTAAACCATAATTAATGTATGCTCTGCGAAATCATTAACTTTTCATTTAACTTATCCTTCATTTCTATTCTAAGATAAGATAATAAAAAGATGAATAAATAGAGACTGAATTCTTTTAGCTTTCTACTTTTTCCTAGAGATTTATAGAAAATAGAAAGATAGGTATGGGTGCATATAGCCAAGTTGATCGAGGCAGTGGATTGTGAATCCATCATGTGCCGGTTCATTCATTTTTCCATTTTAAGTTTTTCTAACTTTTCCTCATTATATTTGTTGAAAAATTACATTATATTAGTTTCATGACTACTCTCTATGGAGTGCAAGTTGTCAAAATTGTTTCTGGCATGTTTATGCCACGACCCCTTTTATGAGACATTTTCAGATGTATTAGAGAGAGATTCTTTGATATTGATGATAGTCATTGTTTCCACTTGATTATTTTTTGGTTTTTTTGGTTCTTTTGTTGAAACTTAAAAGAATGCATTTAATTTCTAACGATATCTTGAACTGTGAGGGCTTCAAATTAAGATTTTATTATATTTGTATCTGTGGCACACAGTGCATTTACCCTTTCTGAATGTTTTGGAACTTGGGGAACTTATTCTTCTATCATATGGAATTTGAACCTTGGACATTATGTTGTTGCCCTAACCACTTTGATGGAAAAAGTTCGTATAAGGTTGCAACCTTATACTATAGAAGTAAGGTGCCCTTTAAAAGCAGTAGAAGAGAATGTTTCGAGATTGGAAAACCTTCCAATTGATCATCTCGACCTCAAGATGTCTGGATATAAAGAAAAAAAAAAAAGAAATTTAAGTCTTGGAAATAGTGCATCTTGTAACAAGTTATTTTGATCGTCCATTTTCAAGATTTTCAAGTGTTTCTAGATCTACTTAGTTTGCACCATTTTTTGAAATTTTTAATTTCATAATTGGGGTTGAACATGATTTCAAACTACCGTAAGATTTCCGACTATGGAACAACATCTTCATCAAAATTTAGAGGTGCGCCTTACTTGTATAGCATAATGGAACACGTTATATAAACCACACGCCCCACTTTAATTGCTGGTCCAAGAGCCTGGACCTCTAAGTGCAACAAGATCTGTCCCGTAGGTATTTTTATTTTTTTCTCTCAAATATTGGTTGGATAACATACATCATTAATTATTGTTGTATCTGTTTATTATCATCTTCTTTGATAAGATTAAGATTTTTGACTTGTTGGCAAAAAGTATTCCTTTAAACTTGAATATTGAATATCCTGCAACCTTCATATTCATACAACATCCAATTCCTAGACTTCCTAGATATGTTGATTTATGAAAATAATTCCCTAAGGGTGTGTTTGATAAGTGGAGTTTTTGACAGTGGGAGGCTCTTCCACAAATTATGGAAGATTGCTCTTCCATCACTTTTGATGGAAGGGAGGTTTTCCAAAAAATGAACCCATTTTAACACTAAAAAAAAGCTGGTGGAAGGCCGCCCTTCCACTTTACAGCTTCCACACCGTAATATCAAACATGAAAGTGGGACATTAAACTCCCAATTCCTCAAATTCCCACTTATCAAACACGCCCTAAATGAATTTTCTCCATTTGAAATGCTTCGCATGTGCTGTTGATATGGTTCTTATGATCGTATTTATCTTGTGAAGGAGGTAAGAAAGAAAAAGGAAATCAACCTATGTTGTGAAATACAATGTTAATTTGTAAACTCTTTGTCATGTTTTAGGTCATTCTTGATGAGTGGGTGCGTATCAGTGGTGCAAGATTTGGGGTTGTTGTTACCATTGAGGGATGATTTTACTGCAATAGTTGACAGGGAATCTGGTGTAGGTTTTATAGTTCCCGATGCGAAATTCAAATGTGTGCTTCCATTTGTATTATTTCTATTACTTCTTAAAATTTTCAACGTGCCTTTTGTGGTGGTTTCTTTTTCTTAGGAATTCTCCTTCCCATTTTCGCACACTTTTTTTTTTTTGGCTTAAAATTTTTAAGGTAACTAATGAAAAAATTTGTTGGCTGAGGCAGAGTATCTTGGTCGAGAGTTTGTGTTTCTCAAAAAGCTCCCCAGTTTGTAGCCTTTGATAGCCAAGCTAACTCAAATTAACTCTACGTGGTTTATGAGTCAAAGGTATTTAAGTGGGTGACTTAGTGACTACAAGATAGAAGACAGGGATTATCAATGAACTTCTATTCGAGACAAGGAGATAAATAAGTGATTTCAAAGGATGTGGTAAAGGAGAGGCAAAATCATGGGACTTCTGTATTCCAATGCGAAGCTGCAAATGATCTAGCTAGAAGAACTGCTTGCTATTCTATGATCCGCATATAGAGCTTTTATTCATTGTTATTCAAAGTCCTGCTCGAAATATTACCTATATTTGCTATTTCATCTAAAGAGGTCAACTGCAGATCTTGAACTTTCGGATTCCCACCATCGCTAATGTCGTGCCTCCATACCTTTGGTTTATCTTTTTGAATTAGTTCAAGAGCTTAAATACATGACAGTTTGGTCATTTTGATCTATTACCTCTTGACATTTAGGCTCATGTCACACCATGAGATTTTGTCTAATTGTTTTGTGATCCGGTAAGTATATGACTCTAAATCTCCACCATCTTACCTAGCAGTCTGTCCTCCTACATACAATTTGGAAGCAAGATGATAGCTGATAGATTTCCATTGTATTAGAAGGAAATATTACTATTGGGATTTTGGGTACTTTGTCTATGCCTAAATCATTATGTACTAAATGAAGGAAAAGGTAATTTCTGTCAGTTATTTTTGTCTCATGCATGTAACATACCTGTCTTGTCTGTCACATGTGGTGTGCTTAATGTGCTGTTTGCATTATCTTAACATCTCTTGCTATTAATGTTTAGGGATTTTTCCGGAACCTGGTATTTTTTTGGTTCTAATTTATGCTTGCCTAAGGGCTTTTTCATTCTCCCGCTACTGCACTTGATGTTTCTAGAATGGACCTTCCACCCTTTGAAACTTCAGTAACATCCTTATGGCCTCGAAGGCAATGTTGGGCCAATGTTTTATGATGATTCATGATCGGATTAGATTTTTTTAAAACCATTATCTTTAAGGAGAAAGAATCATTAGGAAAAGGGGCATGCACCTCATTTATTGTCCCTTGCATGAATATTTACAGGAATGTAATAAACTGTCTTGTGCTGGTTGTCATGGCTAAAGTATATTTTCAGAACTGAAGGACACATAATCACTGTAGCCTAGAAGGCTCTGTATCTTCATCTACAGTTTCCCACCAATTGGACTAGAATAGAAATAAACCATAACTTTTTTGATTTGTCGGAATAAATAATGGACCTTAAATGTAAAACTAACAAATGGTCAAAAGTACCTGATACCTCAAATACTTTCCTCTATCTAAAAATTATAGTAGTTAAGGTGCCTACCACCTGTGGATGTCAGGTTTTCACAAGTAAAATATCGCAATAAGAAACATGATTATATCTAAGAAGATTGTCTACCATGTCCCTTTTGACAAACTTTGTATGAATTTGAATAAGGCAAACCTATGCGACCAACCATAGTTTCAAACCCAGACCCAAAGCTGACTTGGTTAGTCACTGTGTCGGCTCTACCTGGAACTCGTAAATGGGTTGGCCCCTGGGTCAAATAAATAATTTTTAATTTTTTTTAATTCTAACCAACATTTAAGACTGAAAATCTAAAATACCATAAGGTCATACTAGAGATATAAGGTAAAAGGCGCACTCTTGGACATTGTCATAACCTTGCTTTTGTACAAAAAACTTTCAGTTGATGCTTGTCAGTCCCAAGATAAAGCAACCCCTTTAGTTCCTATTAATATGGCATAACAAAAGAAAAAATATATGACAAAATGACACTTGTTACAAACAACTGGGTCATGGCCTAATTTGACCCGGTTTGTGACCTGGTCTGGTCAACCTGAATGAGTTTCCCGGTTGACCTGAGGGATTTTACGGACTATGTTACCAATTAACCAAGATAACTAAAATAATACTGCTACAGCATACCTGTTGCAGGACCTGGTTGATACTCATGGACTTTTCTATTGGTGTGGTTTGAGGTAAATCACTGGATGTTATCTAACTATCCTTGAAATTATCTCAAAAAGACTGTAACTGACTGTCCATATATCTCTCTATAGATGTGGGTTAAAGATAAATCAGGAGTTGTCCAACTACCCCCAAAATTATCGACAGAAATATCAAACTTCCTATCTTACTGTCTATCTATAATTTGTTTGTGTATCACACGACCACCGACCATTCCTGTGAAACACCTAGAATACCCTTAGAAATTTGATTCTCTCATTTGACATTTGATAAAGGTTTGTACTGGAGAATTTCGAGCTGGTTTGGGTTATGATGATTACACAATAGTTTAATGCTGCTTTATCGTTTTTCTCTATTTTGTTTCAAGTCTAATGTTTTTCTTCACTATTGATAAGCATGATAAAATTCTGCATGTAGTCTTAGATGCTGTAGCTTTTATATCTCTTCATAATGATCTGACCTTTGCTTATGGATACTTCAGGAAGGGTAACGCTCGTTATGCATATAAAACCCTATTCTCATATAAATATTTCATGAAAACCATCTATCCGTTTTATACTTCTACATGTTTTATTTATCCGTTTTGAAATTATTTCCTTTCTTTTTTTGTATTGATAGAGATGATTATATATATCATGGCTTCTAAAATTCTTATGTTCTTCTACTCTTCATACTTGCCTGAAATTTGTTTAATTGATGTATTAAGAATCCTCTTGACATACATCCTGACCTGATATCAGTATTTCATGAGAGCAATGCATCTATACTTCAGGGCAACT